ACGCAATTCGAACTCAGTCGCCCTTAGGGTGTAACGGTGATATAACAATAATTTTTTTTTAAATCGGATAAAAATTATGGCCTCTATAGGGTCCACAAGCTAAAAACGCTATTTTTCGTACAATCAGGAAGTTACGTTCCGATATGCGCGAATATCGAAAGGAACCGAGATCTTTGGGTTATAAACTTACATTTCAAGTTTCAACAAAACAGGATTAAAATTGTGACCCCTATAGGGTCCACAACCTTGATATACCATATTTTTACGCTATTTCAGAACGAGGGGCGTCCATTTTGTCTGTCAGTTTTGGGCCGATTTTCACGAAATTCAAACTTAGCTGTCCTTAGGGTGTAACGGTGAAATAATAATACGTTTTTTTAAATCGGATAAAAATTATGACCTCTATAGGGTCCACAAGCTAAAAACGCGATTTTTCGTACAATCAGGGGCCATAATTCAGGAAGCTACCGTCTGATATGCGCGAATATCAAAAGGAACCAAGATCTTTGGGTTATAAACTTACATTTCAAGTTTCAACAAAATCGGATAAAAATTGTGACCTCTATAGTGTCCACAACCTTGATATACCATATTTTTACGCTACTTGCGTACGAGGGGCAGCCATTTTGTCTGTCAGTTTTGGGCCGATTTTCACGAAATTCGAACTCAACCATCCTTCAGGTGTATCGGTGATTGTTTAAATCGGATAAAAGTTATGACCTCTATAGGGTCCACAATCTAAAAACGCGATTTTTCGTACAATCAGGGGCTATAATTTAGGAAGTTACGATCTGATATGTGCGAATATCGAAAGGAACCGAGATCATTGGGTTATAAACTTACATTTCAAGTTTCAACAAAATCGGATAAAAATTGTGATCGCTATAGGGTCCACAACCTTAATATACCATATTTTTACGCTATTTGATAACGAACGACGGCCATTTTGTCTGTCAGTTTTGGGCCGATTTTCACGAAATTCAAACTCAGTCGTCCTTAGGGTTTAACGGTAATATAATAATACGGCTTTTTAAATCAGTTAAAAATTATGACCTCTATAGTGTCCACAAGCTAAAAACGCGTTTTTGCATACAATCAGGGGCCACAATTCATAATTCTTATCTCTTGTAGCATATAGCAGATCATGCTGGCATTACACAATGGTTTCTTTGGGTTGTATTCCTGGTTGTTTTCAAATTTGAGTGAAGTCTGTGTCACTACAGACCCGGGACTGTACAGCGCAGTGGACGCTTACGGCTAGCCCCCGGATCCATTCACCCTTTTTGAATTGTTTGCTTGTTTGTGTTTTTCTGAGTATGATGTCTTGTCTGTGTATTTGTTTTTGTGTAAATTTTGTGTGGTGCAGTCCCCCTGCACTTACTATTATAAGAGAAGATCCAATCCAATAGTAAGCCACAAACAACTTGCATGATACAGCTTCCGATAATGCGGTATATGGTTTCATTTTTCCTGTGTCTCATATGATTCTGACAATAACGACACATGGTTTTGTCAGTCATGTGTTCAAACTTAGAATGCATAAATTTTTGTATAAAATGATTATTGGGGTTAAGTTTTACTGTAATAAGGACTCCCTCTCTGAGCAATTTTTTAAAGTGCCGAGCTCGGTAGTTATTGTGTTGAATATAGTAAATAACAACAAGACAATTTGTCTAGATGTAATCTGTTTCATTTATAATGAAGTAACATATGCCTGGTTATATTTAAACAATATTTATTCATAAAATTTAATATCAAATATAGGCTACCATGACAATTATAATGATATGATTACAAAACAAGCTAAAAGCTTATATAATTTTGCTTCATATATATACTCTTCAAAAAAAAGTTGGGGATATTCAGAAACAATACAAAACTGTGGAAATGCACTGCTGTTTTTATTAGAGGTAACCAGTGTATGTTAATAACAGGCCAATTGCCTACACATGAACATAAACAGTTCATATGGGTGGCTTATCTGACAGCCCCATTTCACTTGCAAACAGATATACTTTCAAAAGTGAAAATGGACATTTTTGATTTTTGTCTTAATAATGAGTAATTGCTGCACCAATCCTCAGACATTCAGCAATTCGATGTGGCATGCTCCTAATCAACCGTCCAATCATGATTTGGGGCAATCTGACCCACTCCTCTTGCAGTGCCACAGCCAATTCTTGCAGTGTTGTCGGTTGACGTTGACGTCGACAAACACGTCTCCCAATCAAATTAAACGTAACACACTAAAGCAAAGATATGCTAAACAGTAAATCTTATGCAAGAACCGATAGGAAATATGGATAGGATAAACCAGCAAGCGGCAGTTTTCATCAACCCTTCCTTGAAGTGTCAAATTTGACAATGAACCCCTCCCACGTATATGGCGCTATTGTGTGTCGCACATGCAACTCAATGGTTCTGTTGGGGCGATAAGTTTTTCATGTGTGAACATACTCTCAAAGCATGTCAAGTGTCCATGACTATTTATCATATCACAACCTGCATAGGTATTAGCATTTCAATATCTCCTACTTTTTTTGAAGAGTATATATACATGTATTTACTTTGTGATATTTCAAGAATCTACATAATAATAGTAAAGGCAAGTGTTTCATGAGAAAATTCAAAATAAATAATGGAAATAAATGAATATGAAGATAATTATAAATAAATGGATAAAATGTGCAACATGCCATTCTAATCACCACACCAATTCAAAATTGGTTAACTTACATCAATGATACATTGTTATTTTTAGTATGTTAATACATTTTATTATGAACTGTCTTGAATAAGCTTATATTTTATTTGCATCATCACCAAGGTCTTCATAAACAGATGATATATTAGATGTAATAAAATCAATAAACTATTATAACAGTAATAAAACACTGTTTACTATCACACATTCAGTTTTATAGTTTTCTTTATTTCACAAAGGGTGGGAACAAATTTGACATGGCAGCACAGATAATCAGTATGTCATCCGTCAAGGGTACTAAAGAAATAGGAATAGTACTTGACAGTACTTTGAACCATTTGAGTCTATTTATAGCCCGCTCTACATGTATTCCAAGATTAGCAATAGTTTTTGTTTTTAGAACATTTTCACGACTCATCTGTTCTGTGCCCCTTGCACCTGGGGGGATATAATTATACGAACACGCTGTAATAATAAATCTTCCGCAATCGGAAACCCTCGATCTGCCAACACAGTATCTCCCACTTCAAGAGAATCAAGCCACCCTGAATTCAAAACAATGTACCTGTCACTAGTTCTCCTTCCCCAAGATCTAGATACAAACTGGATACATCCATTTGGGATTATGTCAACAAGACACTTGACAGTATTGTGCTGTTTGTAGTCAGATCATGTAGCTGCCTGGATATCTAGGCTATTCGATGTTTCAATGTTAGAACTCTGAACAGTCAATAATAGATCAGGCTGTTGGAACTAACTCCTGGGCCCGATTCCTAGAAAATTCTTAAGCACTAAGCACGTTCTTGTGCTTAGATTTAAGTAGACTTTGCATTTAAGTAAACTTACCTTATTTTGTGTTCCCAGAAAATTCTTAAGAACGTTCTTGTGCTTAGATTTTAGTAGACTTCGTTGTAAGCACAAGAACGTTATTATGCGTTCCAAGAAAAAACTTAAGCACAACTTCGTTCTTAAACATAGTCAATCTAAGCACAAGTCCCAAGCAAGGTATACGGCTTGCTTACCAACCTTAAGTCTGTTCTGCTTCAAAAAGATGGCTGACCATAGAGTTATTCAACGGCATTTCTGACACCTTTTGATACCAAAGAGACAATTACAAGACAGAGAAAATCATTCTCCATAAGAAATTTCAAATTAAGAATGCTATAGAAAATTTCGCTTCTAGGCCTACCCTGAAACCATTTTATTTATTTGCCAATTAGTAAACAATAGGCTACAAACACACAGGCTACTTTAAGATCAGGCGCTCTCACAATTATTCTGTTAGTTTGTATGTGTCTGCGTTTTTTATCTTGTGGCACATTTTATATGGAATAGGGGACATGTCAAATGCATCGAAATGAACATTATATATGACGTCAATGAAGCAGACGACAAATTTAAGACGTAATTCGCACACCAAAGTTGTTTTTATGACGTTAAAGAGCATCGTAGTCTCAGTTTATGGTAAACTTGACCAGTCACAATGTGCTTAGACTTATACTTGACTTGTGCTATCGTAAGAATGGTCTTGAGAATTTTTCTAGGGACGGTATTTTTATAAGTTTCTTACGTAAGAAAAAGTGAAGCATGACTTTGTGCTTACTTTAAGAATTTTCTAGGACCCGGGCCCAGGAAAGACTTGGGAAGACAGAATTTAATTTCTTCTTTTGATGGCCTATTTATTAAATTCTGCAATAATCTGGATAAGATCTTTAACCAAGTTGTTATAATTTGTGAACATAGACTTTGGCTAATTCCAAAAATATCACCAAGAAGCAGTTGATCACGCAACAATTTGCCATTTTGACAGTAGCAGAAACGGGTTTGTTTACATTTATAATACGGTCTATTGCATAATAATTGTGACCTCTAGAGGGACCACAAGCTAAAAACGCGATTTTTCATACGATCAGGGGCCATAATTCAGGATTTTACGATACAATATACGCACATATTGAAAGGAATCAAGGTCTTTGGGTTATAAACATGCATTTCAAGTTTCTCCAAAATCAGATGAAAATTGTGACCTCTAGAGTGTCCACAAGCTAAAAACATGATTTTTCGTACAAATAGGGGCCATAATCCATGATGTTTCGATCTGATACATGCCAATATCGAAAGCAGGTAAGATCTTTTGGAGATAGACCTATATTTCATGTTTCATCAAAATTGGATAAGAATTGTGACCTATTATAGAGAGTCCACAAACAATTGTGGACGGACAGACAGGGGCGACGACAATATCTGTCCACATGAAAATGTGGGCGTATAAAAATTTAATATAATACTTTCCTACCCAGTGATTCAGAATCAACTTGTTGTGCCTTTCTCTTTGCTACATCTGCTAAGGCAGTTTCACCTTTATCCAGGGCCATATAATAAATATCCTTAAATACAAGTTTAGACCGTATCGGTAACAATTATTTCTAAATGAAATGAAATGGGGTTTAACTTTAACGTCCTACTGTTCTGCTCCGAATTGGGCTAATGAAGAAGGGCATATAATAAATATCCTTAAATACAAGTTTAGACCGTATCAGTAACAATTATTTCTAAATGAAATGAAATGGGGTTTAACTTTAACGTCCTACTGTTCTGCTCCGAATTGGGCTAATGAAGAAGGGCATACGGCATACAGTGTGCTAAGAGGGAAATTTTGCCCGGACAGCGACACTACGGCCTACTCTTATATCAAATTCCAACTATCAAGGGATCTTTTACGTGCGAGCCAATGTGTACAAGGGACCTACATGGGACCTCGATTTTTTATCCCATCCGAACGACTAGACAGCTGTCCTTGTCAGACCCTCCCTCCTGCATCACTGACAAGGTGGAACCACACCAGAAAATCTGGATGAACTTTCTCGGCCAATGCAGGGATCGAACACCCGACCTTCAGGCTAGCGAGCCAGCGTCTTACCCACTTAGCCACCGTGACCCCCCACAATTATTTCTATATACCAGTATTAATTTGCCTTAATAAGTGACAAGAAATTTCATGAAAGAAGGAAAATAATCATTGAAAATCATCTGTTGTGAATGTAAAAAAAAAAATAAAAATATTTAAGGTAAACTTGTTAATAAAAAACTTTTTAGTGATAATTGAATACTATTACTAGGAGAAAAAACATTTACCATATAGAGATCTCTAGCACCAATATCAACTGCTAGTAAAAATGCTTTATCAAATCTAGCGTATCTGGAATATAAATACTATATAACTATAGAAAAGGGAATGATAAAATGCTGCAAACTTCATGAGGTATTCATTAAAGAAATCTTTTTGAAACTTTGTACACGCATCAAACTATTATAGTATTTTATTTTCTGACGTGGAGACCGGACGCGAGAAAACCGGTCGCCACATCCTACGTATGACCCATGCATCTTTTCTTAATACATATCTTAGTAGCCTTGTGATCGTCTAGAATTTGTCTCTAGCTGTCTTTGCTTCTGCTTCACATTGTGTACTTACTTCTTACTGTTTTCTTAAGACGGTTGTCTTACCAGGAATAACAATGCAACAATTCGTTTTTACATTTTATATATCATAGCTGCTTACATATGGCACAACGCATAATAGAATAAAGTCATTCTCTCAAACCTCATTCAGCCAGACTCCAAGGGTCAATATGGGCATGGAAAATTTAGTCTTCACTGGCTACTAAATGCTAAAAATTTACTAGCCAGCACCAAAATTTTAGTAGCCAGAAATTACAATGCTATTAACTGTAGTCTGTAACGTAAATCACTACTAGATATTACGCGTTGTTTTTTTTAATCTTTATCATAATGCTAAATATAAAACAATGCAGAAAAAAGAACACCAGTTTTGATTTAAATAAATTTTAATTTTAACAATATTAAAAATTACAATGACATTTATCATGAATGAAACACAACATACTGAACAGTTTAAAGAAAACAATTAATTAATGTACAAAATGAATATCATCATTAAACTTTGGTTTAGCTGTAAAAAATTCTTTTCTTCAGAAAGAGCTTAAAAGATTTTGTTTTTTATTCATTTTATTAATATAGAGCAAAGCTCTAAAGCACCACGCAAAGCGCGGTGCTTGAGCAAAGCTCTTTTCCGGTAACACAGGAGCGTAATTGAAAATGTCACCCACAGACTGTTGATTAAAAAAAAATTCAGACCAGAACCGGATACACTGGGTAAAACAGGCAATGCGCATGTCAACTTACCAAATCTCGGCCAAACGAGATCACATAACTAACAAAAATAATTCTACACACCAAATCTCGCCCAAGCGAGATTACGCGCCTCATAGAACTATTTCTATGACGCGTCTAATCACTGACGTCACATATTTTTTACGTCAATGAAAATAATTCTCACACGTTTTTGTTCTTTTTTTAAAAACAAAATTAATGTTAGAATTCAGATCTAAATCAAAATCAATTTTGAAAAAACTAAATTATTTAACATTTTTTGTATCAATTGAGAAAATTAATTATAATAGTCCATGTGACAGGCAGATATTCATTACCAATTTGATGAATTGGTTTAACTATGATTTTCAGTTAGCCTTAGGTCTAAAGTGTCCAAAATAGGTTGATGGACTTCCGGGTCACTTTGCCAAATGTCAGTTTGGCGGCTATCTTTAAAAAAAAATGGCCGCCGTTTTTTTTTCTTATTTGAAATAGTGCGAGTCGGGGAAGCCTTCATAACTCCTCAACAGTTTCACCTATATGGATATGTAATATATCTCAAAATGTTCATAATATAATTCCGCATCTGCTGGTATATGATATATGTTGTTTAATCAATACTATCAGTTTTAAAATAAAAGATTAATCTGAAAAAAGCAACATTTTCGATTTTTTTTTTTCATGTCTGTTCGTATGTTCAGACCCATATAAGCCAAATTATCTGTTTGGTCAACTTAAGTGATTGAATAGATATCAGAAACATTGATCATAAAAAATAATCTCAAATATGAGTGTCCCAGATCCAAGATGGCGGAAATTCTAAATGGCGACAATATTTCCTAAAATGGCCAATATGTCAGATAATAGTCATTTCATTGTTTGATATGACATGTACTATCCAATGAGCTTCAATTAAAGATTCATTACGTAAGATTTAGATAAAGAGCTAGCCATTCTTGCTACAATAGTTCGAAAATAGATAATGTAAAATGAATAATTTGACAATTTCATTCAAATTACTCTATTGCAAGCGAAGATATTAGCCTTTGAAGGTTTGACAAGACACGTGCAATAATTTCAACAACTGTACTGGTTGCTCGAAGCTAAGTCTTGCTCCTCCATTTTTAGATTAAATCAAAATATGACTGATACGTTCTAATTTATTTAATATCGGAGAAATCCGATGCCATCGAGAGTTGATTATGGCCTGGGTCAGTTAATTAATGTCTAAATAATAATTTAGAAAACATTTCAGGCCTAAAGAAAGACCTGCAATAGGCAGATTTAGCTCTTTCACAATGTTTGTTTAATCTAAACAAAGAGTTTTAAAAATCCAAGATGGGGAAAATTCAAAATGGCGGTCAGAATTTTCATAACATGAATGACTGTTTTATATAGCTTATAATGTCTCTTTTATAAGGTTTTCAGAGTCACTGAACATGAATAAAAACTCAAAAATAATGCTGAAAATGATGTTAATGATACTGCTAAAAATGACACATCCTATGCGACCCCCCCCCCCCCACACACACACACACACACACACCATAAACAATACAATGGGGCATAATATGGAATTGATTATTTTGGATCTCACAGATCACAAGACATTTCACCAAAATAGTGAGTCATTTTAATTTCATCTACTATGCCTTTGCACCATTTTAAGCCGTATTGAGAATTATTTATGATATACTATTCAAAAAAAGTAGGGGATATTTGATTTTGGGGGCATAATACTAAAATATGCAAATGACTACGAAAAAAGTCACTATAGAACCTAACAGAAGAAACATTTCCAGTTACATGTGACGCCCAAACGCACCAATAGCTACCGCATGGAATGCAGGTGATGCTTGGGATCATCATGGGGGTCCAACCCAAGATTTGCACGACTCGGACTTTGAATGTTACAGTCATTGTGGCATTGAATTCCAGGGTGGAAACATCAGTTTAATTGTTTTAGTGACCAGAAAACAAATTTTGATATGCGTCGGCTTACCCAAAATGAAAGGTTACGTGCCCTTGGCATGCTACAGATCGGCACAACACAGGCGGTTGTGGCGCGGACGATGAATGTTTCTCAGTCTGTCATAAGCAGGCTATGGTCCAGATACCGTGATACACAATCTGTACAGGACAGACCACGTTCAGGTCGACCAAGGGCGACAACTCAAGCCCAGGATCGATTTATCCGTACCTTGGCCTTGAGAAATCGTGTCATCACAGCAAATCAGATCAGCGCTCGTCTTCAAACAGACACTGGTGTGAGAGTGAGTGGCCAGACGGTTGATTTTTTGGACAGACGTAGGAGGGTGTGGCGTCGTCGAAACGAGCGCTTCCAAGACGTTAACGTCATCAGACATGATCGATTTGGGGGTGGTTCTGTTATGGTGTGGGGAGGCATCACTGTTGCTGGAAGAACGGCTTTACATGTTGTTGCAGGGCGTGTTACAGGCCAGTACTACCGGGACAACATCTTGGCAGTCCATGTTGTGCCGTTCGCACGACGTCATGGCCGCCGTTTCATCTTCCAGGATGTCACAGGGCCAGGATCGTTACAGGTTACCTCCAACAACAGAACATCACCACATTACCTTGGCCAGCACTGAGTCCCGACCTCTCCCCCATCGAGCATGTCTGGGACATGCTTGGACAGAGGTTACGTCAACGTCAACAACGTCCTGCCAATGTCCAAGAACTTGCTGCTGCGTTGCAACAGGAATGGGACAATCTGGACCAAAATGACCTTAGACGTCTCATTAGGAGTATGCCACGTCGGATCAATGCTTGTTTGGCAAACAGAGGAGGATTTACCCGTTACTGACTTGGTTGTGATGCTGTGGTAACTTTGCTGTTTGACCCCGGGTATCATTTTACCCTTATAATGGTCAGTCTGTGCCTTACTTAGTCTAACGATCATTTGGAATAAATCGATGAATGTGAACTTCATTTCATTTTGTCATTTGTTTCTTCGTCAGTTTCATTAGGTGACTTTAATAACACTTAAAAATCAAATATCCCCTACTTTTTTTGAATAGTATATATCCAGTTGTTAAGAATTTAAGATCTCTTATTCGTTCAGAAATGGTAATGTGGTCCGTTTTTACATTAACGCCTCTATGCCCGGCAACTTTTGTCGTATAGTCTAGTAGGCCTGCAACCAAAATTTTTAGCTTGCTTAGAAACACAGTTCCGCTACAAGGTCCTCCCTATTAAACAAAAAATACATATTTGGAAAGCTTATAACACCAGGAACACAAATCCAATTAAAATATTTTAAGGCCAGATGAAAATTGTGATAATTGTCAAGTAAATGTTGTATTTATACTAACAATTGTGAAGTTGACATAAAATTACACATATGATACCTAGGATAGGACAGGCTTATCTTTGCTCCGTGAGGTGAACGACAGGGTTCTCTACAACCAGACTCGAAATTTCTTTTGAAAAAACTGACTGTAATTTAAATGGTACTTTCTAGAGTATATCCTGGTGTTTTTAGCTTATGCATATATCTTAATAATTCATCAAAAACGACATAAATTCATAACTACGCGAGAACATTGACTAGTTTAGGGACCCCCGAAACTACCATACTCCTTTTGAGTGTCCATCCCTGAAAAGGGAGGCAAAAGATATGATGTTAAAATGATAATTCATATATTATTTTACATTTATATATATAAAAAAAATGTCTCCTTTTTATCCAATGGACAATTTATTGTTAGTTCATGTAGAAAGATATGGTGCTTATATATGGAAGGGGATCGACGCCACATTAAAAGACATGTAAACACGAGTAGAAGTTACTATGTCAGCATATGAAAGTGTTGTTTTGATGATTTTTCCATGTTCGATTTTACAAAATAGAAAAGTATTGTCCACTAACGAAAAAACACATGTACAAATGCGCCTTGTAACGTTTGTATTTTCTACATCTGATCTTTCAACTGTTGTAATTTCTACTAGTGCATAATCGACATATGTAACTTCGACATCGGTATTTTCTTCCAATGTAATTTC